AGTGGTGGCTGCCAGGGCCCTCCTGCCCTGGCAGGGTCTGGTCAGGCAGTATTAGAAAGAAAGGGATGGTAGCAGAGCTGGCGGACCGAGGGAGAGGGCAGGCAGCAGGTAGGAAATGTCCAGGGGGAACTTGGTTCACGCTGCCATGAGGAGCAGATGGGTCTGAACAGCAATGTCACCAAGAGGGACCTTGTCACAGTGCACACGATGGCAGGGAGAGGGGACCCCGTATGTTATCGGTCCAGCTTCATCTCAACAGAGCCGTGCTCACCGAAGGAAATTGGCTGCCTTTTCCACAGCACGACCTTGTGCTGAATTTGCGTGCTTACCCTGAGAGGGCGGGAGCTTCCCCGGAAGACTCTGCTTTGGCCATTTTTTCCCCATTTAAAACATGCTTTGTGCAAAAGTGGCTCATGGAACCCATCTGGCTCACTTCGAAGCTGGAGGAGCTGGAGTGGCAACCCACCGCAGTGGCAAGGAGATGCTCCCCACTGAATATTTGGGGGTGTTGGGCAGGTCAAGGGCTGTGGGGTGTGCTCACCTGGCAGGGACTTGGCCACACTGCCTGCGGCCGGGCATGTAGGTTGCCCAGAGAAGTGGTGGAGGCCCCATCCCTGGAAACATTCAAGACCAGGTTGGACGGGGCTCTGAGCAGCCTGATCTAGTTAGCGGTGTCCCTGCTCCTGCAGGGGGGTTGGACTAGATGACCTCTAGGGGTCCCTTCCAACCCAAAACATTCTATGATTCTATGATTCTATGATTCTATGTCTCACCTCTCGAGCGCTCCTGCCTGGCAGGCCTCTTGCTCAGGCTCCTTCCCATTGAGACAACCAGGGGCTTGAGGACTTTGAGCTCTCCACAGAGTCGCAGGCAGGAGATGGGGCAAAGGCAGGGGCTGGGTGGACAGAGGAACGGGGGCAGATTTAGGCTAGACATTAGGAAAAACTTCTTCACCGAAAGGGTTGTCAGGCTCTGGAATGGGCTGCCCAGGGAGGTGGTAGAGTCCTCATCCCTGGAGGTATTTAAAAGAAGGATAGATGAGGTGCTTAGGGACGTGGTTTAGTGGTGGGATGGCAGGGTTAGGTTAAAGGTTGGACTCGATGATCTCAAAGGTCTTTTCCAACCAAAGTGATTCTATGATTCTATGATTCTATGATGTTGAAGAACGGACTGGCAGGAGCTGGAGGGGACAGCAGAGGTGAGAGGGCAGTGGGGAACAGGGGTGTGAAGCCATGGGATGGCTCTCTGGTGTGACACAGGGACATTCAGCTGGTTCCCTTTTTGGTTTCCACTGATCAGCTACCCTTTTTTTTTTTTAAATTCAGGAAATTATATCTTTCAGCTTAGTTTCTATGGAAACAAGCTTGTAAGATCACTTTGTGTGTATGCCCCTGATTGGTTTTGAAGGCATCAGCCAATTTTAGCTAAATTTCACAGGGGGTTGAAGTCTCAGAGTTAATTATGGTCCTCCCAAAGCTGAGCTGCCAGGTTGAGGAAAGGCGTGGGCCTCAGCAAGGGCAGGTTTGCCCAGTACCTTTTGATGCTCTCAGAGCATTTCCAGTTGAGCACAGTGGTCCGCGAGCTGTAGCCAGTCTTTCAACAAAGCCACCCGCGGGAAGCAAGCTTTATGGCTCCCAGTATCCAAAGAACTATTTGTTCTAGAAATGGTATTGTAGTTATCAAGCTGAGCACTCTGACTTGGCAGCCTTTTTTTGGCCTCCTTGGGCATACATCTTATGAAATCATTACCTGATTCTTCACCAACATCCTCATGTCATGCAGCACAGTCCTGCAGACACGGCAAGGGGGTCTACAAAGTCCCAGCCACCTCTGAGCTGGGTGAGCAGGAAGGTGCAAGAGGAGGGAGGACGATCTCACAGTAACGGCAGCAGGGGGGGACCCATCACTGCAGTGTCCATCACTATGGAGAACCCTTCAGGGACACCTCACGGACTGAGCATTGCAAAAATCATGCTCTGATCTTCTCCTACTGGGCCCCCTGAATAGGCAGGCTGGGCTACTGCTTTCGTGCTTCTGTTCCCCGTGTGTCACTGCGGGTATTTATACCTCCTTTACATCTCAGCCAAAAAAATGAAACAACACTGACATCTTGGCAATATGAAAAATATGAAATGACACTGAGAGCATGAGAGTGAAGCTCATGGGGAAAAGCACAGCTCATGAGCCAGGAAGGTCTTGCATTGGTCTAACACTGGAAGGGGCCACCCAGGGAAGGGGCTGAGTCCCCATCCCTGGGGCTATTTAAAAGCCAGGCAGAGGAGGTGCTTAGGGCCAGGGTTTAGTGGTGGGATGGCAGGGTTAGGGGAACGGTTGGGCTTGGTGATCTTAAAAGTCTTTTCCAACCTAAACGATTCTGGGATTCTCTGATTCTAACGTCCACACCTACATGATGGGGATGAAGGGACGTGCTGGGTGCCCCGAGGAGCTGTGCCCCACACCACCCCCCCAGCAGAGACATGGTGCAGCAGAGGACCAAGGGTGGCTCCTACCTGAGACCTGCTCTGCTGCTGAAAGAGAAGGAAAATGGAGTTTAGTCATTCTGCAATTGGAGAGCCATTTTAGTGTCCAGCACCTGGTCCTGGTAGTTGAAATGAGGTCTGTCTCTCCCTTTCTCTCTCTCCAGCCTGGGCCTGGGGATGGCTTTTCCCTCTGGTTCCCTGTCTCAGTATAACCACCCCATGCCCTCCGGGGTTACCACTCACCGAGAGGGGTATTTTTCTTTATTACTGGTGTCACTGGCAACCGATGCTCAGCTGGAACGGTGTTAGTCAGCATGGGAAGCTGCACCATAAGTGGGGACAAAAGTGATTCCTCTCGACTGAGGTCAGGGTCAGGACCTGCAAGAAGGCACTGAGGAGGCTGGTTGATATCATGTAGAGACATTTGCCCCCGGAATGGGTTTCACAGCCACCAACAGGGGTGGCCTGCAGTGCCTCAGGGCAGATGAGGGGCTCTGTGCGTTGAAGCCTGTGCTGATGGCAGTGATGGAGCCCACTCATCCCAGTGGAGGAGAGCTCTTCACGGGCTCTCAGGATTCAATCTGGATGGAGGACGGAGCAGCCCCGCCACTCCACAGGGCTGCTGCTGCGGTGCTGGGCCATTCCCCAGAGGTTCACAAGTCCTTTGCTCCAGGCACTGCGGGGAAAGGCAGATGATGCATTTGCGCCTGAGCTCCCCGTATGTCTGTCCCCATTAAAATCCCTCCCAGCACATGTCTAAGCTATTGTAGAGTTCTCTCGGCTCCCTCCCATGTCCGCAGCTATCTCGCGGGGCAGTGGGCTCCCTGGTGGGGCTTGGAGAGACATGTGCTGGCAGGCAGGCAGGCTGGGCAGAGCAGCCCAGGCGTCTTCCATGGAGACACTGGCCAATGCTTCTTTTCTGTACCCAGCTGATGATTTTTGCTAAATTACCAGGAACTTACATATTGGCATCTCTCTCAATCTCCTTGAAACTGCCCATTCAGCTCAGTTTTGGGGTGCACTGCTAGAAGGGGGACTGACCACATTATTTCCATAGGTAATGAAAGAAAAGCACATCATTTCCTCAAGCCTGTAGGAAAAATTACTCTTGCGGCCATGGACTGTGAGCTGTGATGAGCCCTTAGGCAGGCAGCAGTAAAGAAGACAGCAAACCTTTCACTCATGGACCTGTACATGGTCCTTATGTGGACAGACTTGCGCTGCCTGGTGTCCCCACAGCCCTGCCTGCACGCTCCCCTATGCACTTGAACTCCATCAATAGGCACCCACACATGCACCCTCCCCCAGGCACAGCATGGCTACGTGCAGACTCTGCACAGCTATTCAAGCACCCACGCCTGTTCCCTTCGTGGGTACATGCACACGTGCTTTTGGCGTGTGTATGCTCACGCTTACCGCATACACAGAGTCCTCGCTTGCACACATGCATGCATGCATGCACACACATGACCTACTCAAATTCAGCCCCTCTTCATGCATACTCATGTCAACACAGTCCAGACCACTAATAATTTGCGGTCCCTAAGAGGCTGGACCCAGCGCATGTCCCCAGCCTCATAACCATGCTCACTCCCTGTGCATTTAGGCTTCAGCCCCATGGGTTTCTGCTGAGCTGAATCCACATGGAAGCCTGGATTCAGTCCCAATCCTGTTATTTACTTACTTTTTGCAGAAGTAAATTTAAGTGAGGAAGCGCAGGGCTGAGGAATCAGGTTTTGGAGGGGACAGGAGGATACTGGAGAAAGCTGCTCCTCAGCTCGGGTCTGCTGAGCGATTCCCACGCTCACATCCCAGCCCTCCCGGCAGGTAGCAGGCACGCTCGGAGGAGAGCAAACAATGGGAATCCCGCACAACATCACACAAGGTGAACTGTTGATTTGTAAAGAGGAGCATGTTTGCTGTGTGCCTGATCTGAGGGGAGCGGGTTACCACCCCTGACAGCTCCGAGTTAAAGCACTTGTAGCAGTGCTTCAGGGACAGTGCGATGAGCGGTGCAGCTGAGATGAGTCATGATTAAAAAATCAGGTTTTTATAACAGCTATTTGCCTAAAAAAGGGCTTAAGGTGATGCAAAAATCATTGCATCCACATACTTTGCAGCACAGCCCCACATGCCCATGCCCATGGCCAGGAAAACTCTGCTCTGGGTTCAGAGGGGTTTGCAGAGACCTGTGACTGCACGTGCTGTGATAGGGGTCACCAAATCACACACGGGCTGGCTCCCAGCTGCCTCTGCACATCACAGGTTGGACTTTTTAGCCTCTGGGGAGACTCTGCTTTCATTTTTCTGCTAGTCTTTGGGCTCTGCAGAGAAGTTGAGGAGTCCCGGGTACTTCAAAAGCTGAGCACTGAATAAGAGTGTGCATCCCAAAATCTCGACTCAGCATTTGCCATTAGTTATCCTTCATGATCCTATCTAAAAACCACAATTCTGTAATCTGAGAGCTGAGATACCACCACAGCAAGACCATGGCCCTTTGATACCACCTCAGGAAGCAAAGTTGCCTGAACTGTTAAACCAAGGTGCTCTCCAACAACTTTGCAGTAAAACTTGTTCATCTGAACCCAGTGATTTGTATTTACAACACTCCAGAAAGCCACAGTCAGCCTAAATGGCATTTTTGCAAGTTGATTGGGAAACTAGAAAATAATCTGATGCAATGTATTGAAATTTCAAAGATGCTTTCATTTCAAAAAGGGATTGAAATAATTTTGTTAGATTTTTCTTTTTTTTTAGACTGTATTTTTCTGATTTTTGTTTTTACTCTTAGCTATTCATTCTTTTTTCATTTCTTTTCCAATTTTGTTCTCCCGTTTCCATTTTCCATCTCCATGGATTTCCTTAAAGCAATTACAATTGCTGAGGAATTAAAAATTGAAAATGCTCAGACCCATCTAGTGTTGCCCTGGCCCAGGCTGTGGAGCTGGACCTGGAAATACCTGGGCGTCTCTGCTGACTCCAAAGAGTGGACACCATAGTTCTCCTTCCATTGTTTGTCCCTATGGGGCCTCTTCCCCATCCCACTGGTTAGCACTGGGCTTGTGGGGTGAGCTGCCCTGCTCCTGCTCGTCATGTAGTTGGGAATGTTTGTATCAGTCATACAAAACCGCGGCTCTGAGGTGCTTGTTACAGCTCTCCCGTTTCATTTAAACTTCGATTGAACATCCACAGTTCTTCTTGGTCTTCAGGAATTAGGAAATGTTTCCAGTGCTTTGGTATTGTTGCTGCTGCCTCCCTCATTTCTGTGTTTTGGGCCAGGGCAGCAGAACAGAGACACTGTCCCACCACAGAGACCTGAAGGGGTCAGGGGGTTTGCAGTGCTTTCTGTACATTGCATGGTTCGCTTTGACTTTATTGTTGTGTTGAGTGTTAGGAAAAGGCATGATCTGGTCTGCCCATCCCTCCTGTGCAGACCCATGGTTGACACAAAAACCCCTCCTCTTCTAGAGTCCAGCAGACTTTGGGCCATTTCGGACATTTCTGACCCATGCTGGGTCAGGTCCCTGGATGCCCAGGTCTGGACAAGCCCTGTTTGGTCCAGAGGACAATCTCAGCCTTAAAGAAGAAATGGTATGGTGCTTTCCATTTTGTCCCCTCCTGTTCAGACTTCTGCCCCCCTCCAGCATGTAGCTGGTTTGTCAAGCAGCGCCCATGCTGAGCGTAAGTGCTTTCATTTTCTAATATTTGACTCTAGGGCCTTTTGGAAGAGCTGCATTTTTTTGAAACCTCTCTGTCAGCTACAGCTTTTGGTCCAATTGCTCCCCAAAGAGCGCTGTACTTAATTAGGCTGGAATTGCTATTGCTCAATCATCCAACCATAATGATGGCTTTAACCAAATCAGATAGGTTAGCCGGGGCGTGGGACCAGAGCTGCCTCCTGCGTCCTGCTGCAGAACAAGCTGACCTAGAAACGGCCGAACAGCGCATCATAAAACCACTTTTCTGAACTTGTGACAAATAACTAATATATACCTGCGCGTCCCTGCAGCTGGCCCTTGTCGCTCTCTGAAGGGAATTCGTTTTCTTTTTGATGTCCTTTGCTCAGTAATATTTTCAAAAACTCAAGAGGAAAGGCTATATTTGCACTGAGTGTTGCTGACCGTTCGTTGCTGGACAGGCTTTTCTTCACCACGTCTTTACAGACCACAGAGCAGAAAACCCTCTCTCCCATGTGCTGGATTAACCACAGAGAGGTACAAAACTGTAGCCAGGGTTCACTTCTCAGCCAGTAGAGAGGAGTGCAGGTCCCAGAGGCTAGCTCAAGGCGTGCAACCAAGGGGTCTACCAAAAATTGCTGCTCTGCCTCTTTGGCCTTGTGATCCCAGCCCTGTCCCTGCAAACCTGCCTGGTCCCTGAGACGCACCAATGACCCAACCAGCCTATGTTTAGCTCTTGTTCTTCCTTGCAGAGCATCCACCTGTCCTTTTTGCGGACGGTCCCACCATACTCTCACCAGGCCAACGTCTGGTTTGAGATGATGAGAGTCTTCAACTGGAATCACATCATTCTGATAGTCAGTGACGACCACGAAGGTCGTGCTGCACAGAAGAAGCTGGAGACCCTCTTGGAGGAGAGAGAGTCCAAGGTCAGTTCCTGAACATTGTCTTGTAGCTTTGTTTAAGCAACAACAACAAAACTAGAAGTCTCGGGCTGTTGTATGTATGTAGATTTCTGTATGTAAAACACCTTTTCTTTCCATTGTAACATGGCTAACATGCTTAAAGCATCAACAGTGTCTGACTAGTACCTGACAGAACTTTGTACTTTATTCATTTCACTTGCTTTGCCATGGTCAAAATCTCCTACATGTAAATCGACTACAAAATGAAGGGAAGGATAACCTGGAGCTCTGCAAATGCCTCGCCCAAGATTCCCACCTAAGGAGAGGACCAGTCGCTCAGCTTAGGGAAGCACCTGCCCCATTGCAGCCACCCAGGGGCCAGGCAGACCCAGCAGTGCCAAACCAACCCCGAAAAGCAGCTTCTGAATTGGCTAAGTGGAGCTCACCTTAGTGCCTTAGGAGGGGCAAGGGCAGCCGGCGCATTGATGCACGGAGGTATAATGCACCCTCTCTATAAAGCTGTCAGCTCTGCGGCTGCAGGCTGACGCCCCCGTTCCCATCTCCATCGAAGCACATGCCAAACGCTGCTTTCCTGACACCCCATGCTGTTACGAGAGGTCGGTTGCAGCTGGCAGGAGCAGCTTTATCGAGGAGGTGCACTGCACCTGTACTCAGGGCCATGCGGGGAGCAGGGAGGGAGGCAGGGGAGGTCCCTGAGCCTGCTAGAAATTTGGAAGGACTACCATAGGCCTGCTGCCATTGAGCGGAAGGACTGAGCAAGCATTCACACCAAGCAGGGAAGAACACAGGGAGCCGTTCAGCTGCAGTGGTCCAAAGGCAGGCGCCTGTCTGGAAGGCAAGGAACCATCTCCTGCCCTACGGGGTGAAGTCCCATCACATCCTCTTGCGCGGGGCAGGGTGAGGTCCCGTTTGGGTGGGCAGAGTCCAAGCCCATCTCCAAGTCTCCAGCAGCGTCAGGGCAGGCACCCATTCCTGGCTGCTCCCCCCTGGGTCACAGGCAGGGACCACAACCTGCTCTTCTCCAGCCCCTCCGGCAGCTGCTGGATATTTGGCAGTTGGCTGTTGAGGAGATGTGGCTGTAAACAATTCTTGTGCTTGGAGTTGGCAGCTGAGCCAAGAGACCAGCGAGAGCAGCCTGCCACTGCTCTTCATCACCTCTTCTCAAGTGAGGAACAGCTGGTGTGGGGTGCAGGCTGGCACAAGCCATGCTTACCAGCAGGCTTTTGGTTTTGGTGGTGGGTTTCAAGAAGTTTCATCCTTGCTGCATCCTGGACTGTCATGAGACACTGGTGTGCCACCAACCACGGTGGGATCCTCCTGCCCCCAAAGGCAGCTTCCCACTGGGTGACAGTGGGCCAGTATTTCTCTCCAAAGCCTCCTCCCAGCACAGCGTCCCTTGTCCAGGGAGAGCTGTGGGTGGAAAGGCTGTTCCCACTGTCAATCTGTCACCCCATTCCTTGCATCTTTTGATTTCCACCTTCTGTTTTCCTGCAGATCCCGTGCCTCCCCTTTTGCTGCTCCCTCTCACGCCTCCACTCCCTGCTCGCTCTGTCCAATGCCTCCAGGCGCAGGGTGTATTTCTTCTTCAGCCTGCCCATCCTACAGGAAAGCCTTTGAGATTCGGGGCTTGAAAGATGGGGGACAAAGGGTCCGTCCTCAAATCTGCCCCACATTTTTGCTGCATCTATGATATGTCTTGGTGCCTCCTGGCAGCCACTGGGCTACTGCAAATGCCCTGGCCATCCTCCAGACTGGGGCATGTGCTCTGTGATGGTACGGCACCTTGTCTTCTCTTTGGGATGTGCCTCAGCATCTTGTTTCTTTTTCCTTGAGGAGCTTGGTCTGGTCAAACTGGCTGGTCAGACTGGTCAGGAAGGTAGATTTCCTCCATCAGGCCTTTCCTCTCTTCCTTAGTCTCTTCTGCTAATTGCTCTTCTAATCACTGGTGTGCTGACTCTTCAAGCTGTGAATTGGTACCCGGGGCCCAGCCGGGTAGGAGACCTGCTCTTGACCTCTTCGAGGCTTGGATCAGAGCCCCCAAGGAGCTGGGGCTGGGGCAGAGGCTCACCTGCCCACATGAGGTCTTGGATCTGAGCATGGCTTGTCCCTTGGCGTCTGCGCCAGTGTGTGGATTTGCACTTCAAGACAGTATTTGGAGCCCAGGACTCGGGCCAGGCTGGGCACCCCCTGTGCTAGCCTTGCCTTTGGTCTGCCTGCAGTAATTCTCAGCCTGGAGCTACTGCTTCATCCCAGAACAACTCTGCTCATTCATCTGGGCAGGGCCACCATTGCACCGATGATGCTCGGGCTCAGGGGGGAATGCCAGACACTGTGAAAAATTAGAGTTTGTCCAAGTCAGAGGTGACAGGTCCCTGCTGTGCTGGCTCCCTTCCTCTGGGACAGTGACGTTCATGAAAGTGGTAATTTTTTGAGTGAATGCTGGAGAACATGGTGGAAAGCGAATTTTGAATTTGTGGGTCTCTGTGTGGGCTGAGGAGGAGGGAACTGCTGCAGGACCACACAGAAAAAGTGGGAAGAGACGAGACATTGCTGGTCTAGTTCTGGCAACAGAGATGGGGTCAGGGGGAGAGAGATGCTGTCAGGTGCCATCAGGTCCGGCTTTGCTGCACCCAAGACTCTGCTTCACTTTGCTTGTGAGCCCATCCCGGGCACATGAGGTGATCTGTGGCTGGAGGCTGCAAGATGGATGACTGAGTTTCCAGGTAAATTGGTGGTGCCTGAGGAAAAATGGCCAAAGTCTCTTCGTTGGAGAACACTCACGCTGTCCTGCTGCTGTGGCTCTGCTCCCCCTGGAGGCAGTTGTTACTCCAGGTCTCACTGCATTCTGAGCAGACTCTAAGAAGCCATTGTGGAAATCCCTGCCATGGACATCATCAGAATTGAAGGCAGACCTGGGCTCCGAGCAGATTTTACCCCCTCAGATACTTTTCCTTGCAAGTACCCAACTTCTTTGAGCAATGAAAAAGCTGCCGGGCTGTGTCCAAGGAAAAGAAAGGAAAGATCACACAGCGGCACAGAAAGGGAGACCTGGCAAAATGTCCCACCAAAGACTGGTCTGAGCACTCAGGAAGAGACAAGCTATTCAATTCTGAAAGCAAGATGCAGAGGTAAACCTGGCTGCCTGTGAAGCAACCTGGGAACATGAACCCTTGCATTACTGGGATGCAAAGGGTCGGGTTCCTGGCAGGGGTCAGTTGCGATTGCCAAAAGATGCTGCGAAATGGAGATTAGAATAGACCCATGTCCCGTACCCTATACACACAGATCAGGGATGCCCAGCTGGGGTGGGACGGGGCCAAGAGGAAGAGGTCAGACCGTGTCCCACCAAAACCTGCCAAGCACTGCCCTGCAGGCAGTCAAGTCGCTGCTATTGGCATGACCGGAGGGGCTGCTCCCAGGAAGATGCATGGGACTCTGTGCAAGCTGCTGCAGGGTCAAGGCTTCTGAAAGCGGAGGCCGTCAGCCCACGATGCTGCCGGGAGGAGAGGAAGCCCCCAGAAGCTGGTTGCATGCCCCTTTCAGGGCTGAGCAGCAGAAGTGGCTCAGGCAGGAGATGAGGGGGGAGCAGGCTCTCTGCTCCGCTCCGTTATCTGCAGGGTCAGTGCATGCTGAGCCACCTGCCCTTAGTCCAGGAGCAATGCTCCAGCCAGCAGAATGGAGACCACCAAGCAGCAAGCCCCACTAGCCACACGTAGGGCCAGGTTATGGGCACCAAGGTCTCCAGCAGCTGCACCTCCCAGGGCCACCCATGTGCCGCAGAGCCATGAGGTGCCCTTGGTCCTCCCCAAGCACCAGGTAAAAGCTGCAATGTCATCCCATGATCACCATTGCTTCATATTGCCACGCTTTGAGCCAACATGGGACGTAGCGAGCTTTTTCTTTCTCTTTTGGACAGCAACAGAGCTCCAAAGAGCTGCTCCCTCCTTGTGGGAGGCGAGAAGTTCAGCTGAGACACCTCATTTGCTGTGAACTCTCTTAGGGTGAACAGGATTGTAATGATAATAGCGACGGTAGTAATGCTAATACTATTAACTGTAACAGTTTGCATTTATCCAGCACTTTCCGTACACAACATTTTGTCCTTTACTTCCACAGTAATTCCATGGAAACCCCACCACTTAGGCCCTTAGAGATGCATAGATTGTTTCTGAGTTTAAGATAAAAATTTCTTGCAGAAGAATTCCCCAGTCCCACACGGGAAATGCAACTGCATCGCCACAGCTGTGACCCCCAGGCTTGCTCTAACCGACACGGCTTTGCACCCTGACGCTCCCGTGAGAGCTGAGGCACTCTCTCCTGATAGTGGTTTTTGCGAGCTCCAGCGTTATAGAGACCCTTTAGCAAACAGTGGAGGAGGAGGTGGATGTTGGATTGCTTTACTACACGTCATTTTCAACTGTTTATAATATTCTTCTGTGTCTACATATTTTCTCTGTGCACATTATTCATCAGAGTAAAAAAAGGAACTATGAAAACCTCGACCAACTTTCCTATGACAACAAGCGAGGACCCAAGGTATATATGCATGGAAATGCACGCCGCCCACCAACCTAACTAGCAAATGAAAAATAGCCACAGCCACCAGAAAAATAAAAAAGAAAAAAAAAAAAGAAAAAAAAGAAAAGAAAAGAAAGAAAAAAAAAAAGATCCATGACCATGTTTCTTGGTAGCACGTTTTTATGTTGAGATAGTTTGGTTTGGACTTGAGAATGGAAACCTAGCCAGCTGACCCTGGAAGGATTTATTTTTGAAACATGCATGTGAACCAGTAATTAACTTGCAAGTTTTTTGGTTTTTTTGTTTTTGAAAAGTTGAACCAACCCCCTTTCCTCCCCAAAGGAACCGGTTCCTTGGTGTAAGTTGCTCACTTTTACTCCCAAAGGTTAACCCTGTGCAATCTGTTTTTTTTCATTTCCCATGTTTTTGAAAAACAACACTCGTTTGAGTTTTCAATTGCATTTCAAAGCCTTTTTCTCTTTCCTGTTCAATGCACGCCTCTTTTTGGGTCTTGATTGACTTCAGTTTGCATGCACAGTGCAAAAAAAAAAAAAAAAAAAACCCAAAAAGCCAAAACCTTAAAAGAGAAAGGAAGGAAGGAAAGAAAGAAAAGAAAGAAAAGAAAAGAAAAAAGAAAAAAGTAGCTATAACCAACCTTATTTAGCAGACTTTTGTGCAGTTTAATGAATTCTCTTGACCCTTTTCTAGATAGCATGGCTCTCACAAGCAGGCCTGGGGCTCCCACACTAACCAGCTTTGCTCACACTAATCACAGGCTGAGAAAGTGCTTCAGTTTGACCCTGGAACCAAAAATGTGACATCGCTGCTGCTGGAGGCTAAGGAGCTGGAGGCTCGTGTCATCATCCTTTCTGCCAGGTAAGGCAGAGCCGTCCCTTCCCCACCCTGCTCCCATTTCCTCACTCTCCCCTCTGCAACGCTGCCCAGTGCCGAGCCTGTGCAGATTTGGAGCGTGTTGTTCTTTCAAGGAGTGTGGGAGAAAATCCATGTAAAGCCCCATTTCCCAGGGAGGCAGTGGATGCTGTGCTGTGCGTGCTGCTGGCCAGGGAGCTTGCGGTCACGAGCACGGTGGAGATGCCCACTTGTCCTGCAAAGTGTTAGCAGCTGCAGAAGCAGCAGTAGTTACTGAGGACATATCCTGATCCACCCATGAAGGAAGGGAATCTTATTGCTCCCATGCCTACTGATGGTGAGCAATAAGGAATGGGCCAGATTTGCAGGTGCTCAGCAGTGCTGGGTGCTGGGAGGTTAGATGAAGCTGAGAGGAAGGTTCCCATTGCATCGAGGAATTAGCCATTGCCCGACACAAGAAGTTATCAGAGGAGGGCTGCCTGGGGTTGTGTTTTCCCTGGCTCTGCCACCCCCTTGGGGTCCGATACAGGAGAAAAGGGGCCAGCTGGCACCTGGAGCCACATTGCCGTTCCCTTCTTCTCGTTGCAGTGAGGATGATGCGGCCACGGTGTACAGATCAGCAGCCATGCTCAATATGACGGGCTCCGGCTACGTGTGGCTGGTGGGGGAACGGGAGATATCGGGCAATGCCCTGCGTTACGCCCCTGATGGTAGGCACCTGCCGGAGGCGCCCGTCCCGCTGCTGGCCGGGCTCAGAAGAGCCAGCTGGAGCTCAGATGAGTGGCACCTGCCCTCCCGGGGACCCCTTGGGCTGGGGGAACGCAATGCCACAGTGGTCCTGAGCAAATGGAGGGTCCCACACGTTGCTCTCCACTCTCTTTGCCCTCATGGGAAGGCAGCAGCCTTGGCCCACACTGCCATGCCCCAAATCCAGCTCACCGTCACCTGGGGAAAGGCATGGTCAAGAGGATGGGGATGGAGCATGGGGTGTCAGCAGCCCGTGTCGTTGTCCTGAGGGGTCCTCAGCCCCATGACCATATGCTTGCTGGCCCCCGAGCCCTCCACGTGGGAGTAATGCCAGGACAACTGGCGTGCCCTGCTGACGTGCCTTCTCCCCTCTGCTCGCGGCAGGAGTGATCGGTTTGCAGCTCATCAATGGGAAGAACGAGTCAGCCCACATCAGCGATGCTGTCGCGGTGGTGGCCCAGGCCGTGCACGACTTGTTTGAGAAGGAGAATATCACAGACCCGCCACGGGGCTGCGTGGGCAACACCAACATCTGGAAGACGGGCCCCCTTTTCAAGAGGTATTTGGGGAAGGGTCCTGCTGGAGGGAGCAGAGGACCTGCTGGGGGAGAGCGGGAAAAGTGGGAGCATGTGAAAAAGGGCAACGTGGTGGCTTTGCTCAGGGTATCTGTCACCAAAGCTTTGAGGCATGTGGCGCAGGACTGCTTGGGCTCTCCTGCATGATTCAGATGTGAGGGCTACATGTCTCCAAGAAAACCAGCTCAGGCACTGGTCCCCAGTTTGTCCGGGCTGTTTAGGCATCATCCTGGTGCCTGGCACCAGTTTGGTCCATGCCAATCCATGCTCTCCTGGGCAATGCTTTAGCAGCTGGCATCAGTGTGGGCAGGGAACAACTCCACAAGGAAGAGGTCTGGGGGCCATGGAGGGATGATCTCCTCTGGTCTGGATCTTAATTCTGTGGGTGAAAGAGGGGAGAAAGGGGGTTTTCTGCCAAGCCAGGGTAGGGGGATATTTCTGTTAAAACAGAGCTCAGTGCTGCGGACACGTTTCTTGCTGAACGTTGCAGCATGGGTCAGCGTGCTGCAAGCAGAACTTGGGGCAAGAGGTCTCCGTGCATGGGACAGGCTTGCTCTGCAGTGTAGCAAACACCAGTGCTTTGGTTTTGGTTGGCGGGGTCTCAGCAGATCAGAGCATGTGCATGTTGGATCTCGCTGCCATGGGCAGTGTGACAGGCAGATGCTGCTTGCGCGTCCTAGAACCTGGTCTTTGTGCTGTGTAGGGGTTTGTGCTGCATCACTGCAGACTTTAGAGCCACAAGGGCCTCTTCTGCCAGCTGGGTCCAGTAAAGCAGCAATTTCCTTTGCAGCATGGCTCCTTGTGTGGGAGGGCTGCTCTCTGCAGCACGCAGCCTGGCACCAGTGTGTGGCTTTTGGCAGCAGGATCTTGTGCCAGGGGTTGCTCTCTGCAGACATGGTCATGGTGTCTGTGGGATCCCCTTTCTATAGATCTGGGTTCCATTGAGCATGGGACCTGCAAACCCTGGAGATCATTTTAGAAAAATTTCTGGCTTCCTCCACAGTGTCCCGATTTTTGGCATGAGCTATTCAAAGTTGTTATCTATGGTGCACTGCAAGTGGCTGAGGCAATTCTTCTGTGCCTTCGCTATAGTCTTTCCAGGGTTTGGGACCTGGTTTCCCCCTTGGTGGTGTAGCTGTGCGCCTGGGGCGCTCCCCCGGCTGTGATGGGCTGGTGCCAGACAGAAGCACCAGCAGTGGTGACGTGGATGCAGCTCCCAAGGGACCCCCAGAGGGAGGTGTCCTCGGGTGCTGTGGGACAGATCATTCCTTAAGGGAATGGGACTGACCTGGTGGAAAACAAGGGGCAATGACAACACATATGGTGGTGGAACATACGGGAAGCTGACTCCATCCACCAGGAGGGGATGACCACGGGGCTATGAACAGACCATAGGTAGCCTTGACTGGACTTCTGTAGAGTAGTGGCTGTATGGCAGGCAACTGAGAGAAAGACTTTCTGATGCCTGCTTAGGTGTTCCAATGTCCACAGCAGGTTTTCTACATTGGCCCTACTGTGTTTCTCTCCATAGGGTGTTGATGTCCTCCAAATACTCAGAGGGTGTCACTGGACGGGTGGAATTCAATGAGGATGGGGACAGGAAGTTTGCCAACTACAGCATCATGAACCTGCAGAATCGGAAACTGGTCCAAGTTGGGATTTACAACGGCAGCCACGTACGTAAGGCCTGGACAGGTTGGGTAGGAGGGATGTGTGCACTGGGGTGCCTATCTATGGCCTCACGTCTCTCTCCTTCCTCTGGGATTGATCACAGGTCTTGACCAACGACCGGAAGATTATCTGGCCAGGGGGAGAAACTGAGAAACCTCAAGGCTATCAGATGTCGACCAAGTTGAAGGTAACAGCAAACGGCATTAGGGGGTGGCAGGTGTCCTCAGCTCTCTGCATGCAGGGCTGTGACCTTACCTGCCTCCCACCTCTGCTGCCTCTGCAGCTGCCAGCAGCATTTGCGAACCCAGGGCACCTGCCCTCTGGGAGAGGATATAGCAGGACAACTTAGAGAAGGGACTGGAGGGTGTTCCGAGCTGGAGCACAACTTTCATCTGGAGACAAACTAGATAAGGGTGGCAGGCATCCTTTGGTTTGGAAGGAGACAGCTGCTTTGCTTCTCATGCCCCTCCCTTCAGTGTAGGCCAACAGCCACTTTAGTGGCTGGATCCTGAGCCGGTTTGTTGTACCAGTATGACCATTCATTTGTCCTGCTGTCCGGGCAAGGGAAATCCCACATTCCCACTGGCAACAAGCCCTCTCCTGCAGAGGTGGTGCAGATGCCTTGGGGTGCTGCTTTACTGAAAAGCTCCAGGGCAGGACTGAAATCTCTGCATTAGCCTGGGGCAGTGTGACAGTGCCTAGAGCACCATTCGGGGCACTAATCCTGGCTATGGTGGCTCTCATCGGCCTGCTGTTAGGGAGAGGGGTGTGAAAGGCTTTGAGGCCAAGGTAAAAGCGCCACACGAAGGAGGAGGCTGATATGGCCGTTCCTCATCCTGGGCGCAAGGAAAGCAAATGTTCCCCATGTCAAAGCCAGGCCCTGCTTGACGGGCTGAATGGTCTCACGTGTGAAATGATGGCTGAGGAGGGCACCATGTCGCTTTGGCCGTGCTTGCATGGAGAGGGCAGCCCAGGTCCCCACTCAGGGGGAGATAGCTCTGGAAGGAAACGGAGACAAGCAGGTCTTTGTACTTCATCCCACAGATTGTGACGATCCATCAAGAGCCCTTTGTGTATGTGAAGCCCACGCAAGCAGATGGGACATGCAGGGAGGAATTCACCATCAATGGAGACCCTGTGAAAAAGGTCTTTTGCACTGGACCCAACGAGACCATCCCAGGTAACTGGGTCTGGTGGTGATGCAGGGGCTGCCCCAGCCCACCCAGCTGATGAAGACTCCCAGTCCCAAGGAGGGGTCCCAGGGAGGGTGCTCAGTCACACGGGAGGGATGAGGGACAGAAAGGTGACAGCACATTCAGCCCGCAAACACTCCCCCATCAGTTCAGCCCCACAGTAGTGCCATGCTGTAACTGGGCACTGGGATTCAGGTTTTTAACCCCAACAGATTACTTTCCCGTTCTCTCTTCTGGGTGGGCTCCAGGGCTGTTGCAGGGGATTGCATCCCATGTTTCAGTCTCCTGACATGCTCCAGTTCTCTTTGCCTTGATCTCAAGCAGAAGCGAGAACCCCAGGGCACATTAGCACCTGCTGCACTGGTGCTAACGCCACCAGTTTCAAACCATTTTGTTATGGAAAGTCTTTCAGGATTAGGATTGTGCACCTTGTGGGTGTGTGACCTGCTTGGCAACGCCAGGCTTGCCCAAATCGATCTGAAGTGCATCCCTTTGGCCCATCGCGCTTCCCTGTGCCCAGTTCCACCCCCCTGGCCCCGAGTTGCGTCCTGGGCTGTGTTCGACCTTATGGGTTCATGTCAGCCCTCCTCCAGCACAGCCGCTGTGTATCAAGCCCCCTCCATCCCCTACAGTAGGTCAGTAGCACCATAATGATTACATCTTGTATGAAAGCAGAGCCATGCAGGTGGCTGCTCTGACTGGGGCCAGACATGGATCCTGCATGGGGTCCCTGGCAAAGGGCTGCCTCCACTCGTCTCCGCATTTTCTCCCGCCCGCAGGCCGTCCCACCGTGGCACTGTGCTGCTACGGCTTCTGCATCGACCTGCTCATCCGGCTGGCAGGGGTGATGAATTTCACCTATGAGGTTCACCTGGTGGCTGATGGTAAATTTGGTACCCAAGAGCGGGTGAGTGTGGGCAGCCTGTGATACCTCTTTGCCTGTATCGTGTTGAAACACCCCCAGGAACAGGGGTGGGGTGGGAGGGCAGTGCAGGGTACCTGCCACATGTGGGGGTCCTGGCTGGTGGGGGAGAGCTGCCAGGGCAGGGGGCTGATCCTGTGCTGGCTCTCTGGCAGGTTAACAACAGCAACAAGAAGGAGTGGAATGGGATGATGGGGGAGCTGCTGAGCGGCCAAGCAGACATGATTGTGGCTCCCCTCACCATCAACAACGAGCGGGCACAGTACATTGAGTTCTCCAAGCCCTTCAAGTACCAGGGCCTCACCATCCTTGTGAAGAAGGTATGGGCTGGGCTGGGATGTTTTGTAGAACACTGGAGGTGCCCCTTGCTCCCAGCTTGTAGACACATGCTGTGCCCACACCATGCCCAGCTTCCCCAGGCGCTGCCCCCTGCCCGCCCCAGGGCAACCACTGCATATCCCAGCCTTTGCTGGGGGACGCCAGCCTCCGCATGGCTGGTTTTAATGCTGGGTCTTGTCTCAGCCACCCTGAGCCTTCCTGTGTAGCAGAGCAGGAGGAGCTTGGAGCAGGGCAGGGGCCCCTGTCGGTCTAGGCAGGCGGGCAGGGTGCAGGCAGGACGGGTGCCAGCGCTGCTCACCTCTCTCCTGTGTGCTAGGAAATCCCCCGCAGCACCTTGGACTCATTCATGCAGCCTTTTCAGAGCACTCTTTGGCTGCTGGTGGGGCTGTCTGTGCACGTGGTGGCAGTGATGTTGTACCTCTTGGACCGATTCAGGTGAGTGTGCTTTGGGTCACCCAAGGGCTGGAGGGGACAGGGAGGTGCTCGACCCACAGGGTCTTGCTCGGGCACAGCCCTGCAGCCCTTCAGGAGGCTCTCGCAGGAGCTAAACCCATGTTCTCTGCCCCACCAGCCCTGGCCTCTCTGGCTGCTGCTAAGCTGAGACGTATGGATGTGTGGGGCATTCGGCACCTGGATATGGGGAACCAGACCATGTGTCATGCTGATGCCTGGCCAAGGGGACCGTCACCTCCCAGGCTCTGAGTTATTCCCTTTCCTTGACCCCAAGGCAGCTCCTCTGAAGGGCAGGGAGTGTGTCCCCCTGTTAGCCCTGTGCCCAGAGGCTCTGCAGTCAATCTGCAGTGATCCCTCTGTTGCAGTGGGAGAGGCTGGAGATGTCCAGGATCGGATGATCTTTGTGGCCCAGGGAGAAGTGTGATGGGACCAGTACCAGTGTGAGTGGGACAGGGTTGCAGATCAGCAGAGGGGACACGCAAGGCAGTGGGACATCAGGTTGAAGAGCTGTTTGGGGCACAGGCACAGCCTGTAGGGATGGGTGACGCAGGGCTGCATCAGGACACTTAGGGACCAGCAGAGGCCTGCGAGCCAGGATAAGGGATATGAGAAGAGCTCTCTGTCTTGTTTTCCAGCCCATTTGGCAGGTTCAAAGTGAACAGTGAGGAGGAGGAGGAAGATGCCCTGACCCTCTCCTCAGCCATGTGGTTCTCCTGGGGAGTACTGCTGAACTCTGGCATCGGAGAAGGTGCGTTGCAGCACGCAGCGGGACGGCTCTGCCCTGCAACCCTGGCCCCGAGCCAGGGGGCAGGCTGGGCTGGGGGGAAGCTCATGCGCCCCTCCACCACCTCCTGTCTGCAGCAGGGCTGATGTCCCCAGGTGACCATTCAGTCAATGGGTAGAGCCCTCATCCCCTGACCCTTCCCTGGAGGGGGCTGCGGGGGATTCGGTGATGCTGGGGGTGCGGCACTGCCTGTGCGGATCATCCTGCCACCTCTTACCATCAGTGATGGGAAACAGGTCCTCCTTGGGCTGCTTCTCCTACCCGGGGTGACACATCTGCTCAGGGTGAGACCCATCACGCCCTGGAAGGAGGTGTGGGGTTCCCTTGCCGTCTGCAGTGCAGGAGCCCCTTGCACAGCTGTCAGCAGAGCAAATAGATGGGGCATATCTGCAGCTGCCATCAGTCTCATGTGGGATGGATGTGGCTTTGGTGACCAACTCAAGCCCCTGTTGTGCCAGTCTGATCTCGCCTCTCCCCCTCCAGGTGCTCCCCGAAGTTTCTCTGCCCGTATTCTTGGCATGGTGTGGGCTGGCTTCGCTATGATCATCGTGGCTTCATACACTGCCAACCTGGCAGCCTTCCTGGTGTTAGACCGGCCTGAGGAGAGAATTACGGGCATCAACGACCCTCGGGTAACAACCACTCACTTGCTTTCCCCTTCCCTGTCCACCTCCTGGCAGAGAAGCAGGAGATGCCTCCAGTGGGTAACTTCTGGCTCATACAATACAGCTTGTAGTGCCCAGAGCCCAGCTTTAGCATGGCTGTGGGTCTGTGCCAGGGGGCTGAGCCCTGGGTAGCTCTGCCTGGGGCTGTCACTGGTGGGTCTGAGTCCCTGTGCTGGGTGGGAATGGACAGACACAGGGATCAGCAGGGAAAACCTTGTCCAGAAATAGCACATACCCAGCCAAACAGCCTGCCAATTCCTGGAGAGCCTGCGCTAACCAACGAGGAAACAATTCATTATGGATGAGTTATAACTAATGAAATTGTCCCTGCGGTGCAGTCAATACTCTCAGCAGATACTGGCATGCCTCAAACCCATTTCCTACTCTGGCAAGGACACAGCCACAGCTCATCAGCCCGGACTGTACCCCACAGCAGCACTGACCCACAGCATCCCGCACCCCCTGCCCGCGGTGCTGCCAGCCCCATGGCAGCCGCAGGCCTCCTGCATCCTCAGCACCATGGTGTCCCTGTTCCGTAACATCCCGGGCCCCACCACCATGGTCCCAGAGCACCCACTGCCCCATGGCATCCACTGCCCCATGGCGTCCTCAGCGGAGCTGAGGAGATCGAGGTCTTCTCTGGGAAACAGGTCCCTGAAGGGGATGGGAAATTAGGAAACACAGCTTTGGGGTGAGCCAGTTTGGTTGATGAAGGACAAAAGAAATAGGAGCCCTGCCCTTGCCTTTCAGCTGCGCAACCCCTCTGATAAGTTCATCTACGCCACGGTGAAGCAGAGCTCAGTGGACATCTACTTCCGACGGCAGGTGGAGCTGAGCACCATGTACCGGCACATGGAGAAGCACAACTATGAGAGTGCTGCCGAAGCCATCCAGGCAGTGAGGGACAAGTGAGTGGGGCCAGCACCTTGTCTGGCCATGCTGGGAAGAGTCGGGGGCGGCTGCAGTTGGAGGAGCAAGCAGGGGTGATGCAAATCTGGGGGGAGCTGCAGTCAAAGCGTGGCTTGGTGGGACCTGCCCAGTCCTGGTGCATGCCAGGTCTGTGGATGGAGAGCACAAGGTCTCCGTGGGGAAAGGCATACTCAGAGCCCTGGCCCTGTCCATGGCCTCCCTTTCTGGCCTCTGCGGTTGCTTCTGTGTGAGGCTGGGTGGCTTCGAATCCCATATAAACCCCTCACACTCCTCCAAAACTTTGCCAAGTCAAGCAGCACATACACAGACCCTGCTGGGAGGAGGGCGATGCTAATCAGTGCTTTAATTGAGGCTGGGAGCACCCTCGCTGCTCCCGTGGTGGCTGCAGATGGGCTGGGCTTCCCAGCCTTACCTGTCTGTCCTCTCCTGGTGTCCAGCAAGCTCCACGCCTTCATCTGGGACTCAGCAGTGCTGGAGTTCGAGGCCTCTCAGAAGTGTGACCTGGTGACGACGGGGGAGCTTTTCTTCCGCTCTGGCTTTGGGATCGGGATGCGCAAGGACAGCCCGTGGAAGCAGAACGTCTCCCTGGCCATCCTCAAGTCCGTACACGGCTCTCGGCATGGGGCTTGCCCCGAATGCTGCATGTGTTAGCACGCAAGTAGCCTCGTGCCAGGCGCTGCCACCCCACCTCCAAACCCTCTGCGGGGACGGGGGCTCTGGGGGCTGCCGTACCGCTCCTGACACAAGGGATGTGCCTGAGGGACTGGGGTGGGCACCCGCAGCCCCAGCCCCCGCTCACAGGGCTGGGGGAGCAGCATGGAGCTGGTGGGAGGGGAGAGCAGAGCAGGGCAGGGAGCAGGAGCCGTGCTCAGCCACCGGAGCATAGGCAAAGCCGGCAGAGAGCAGCCCCGGGGCCACCCAGCACCAGGGACTGGCAAGCAGGGTGCGGGCTGCGGCGGCGGGCAGGGGGGCTGCCATTTCCTCACTTCTCCCTGCGAGCTCAGCCTGGCCGATAGCATTGCACTGCCCTGGCTCGATCTTCCATGGGGTTTTCTTCCTGGTCTGGCTATTCCTGGCAGAGATATGTCAGGGCCCTTGTTGAGTCCAACTGAGGCTTTTATACCAGCATGAGCCCACAGCGTGGGGTGCCGCAAATCAGTCTGATATTATGGGTTAAAAGGGATTTCCTTGTATTAATTTGGAAATGCCACACTTGTTGCAGACAGAGGAATGTGGTGATGGAGTCACAGGCAGCTGGGAAGCAGCAAGTGGAGGCAGGGGGACACGAGAGATTAATTTTACGGAAAGGCAGGGTCAGAAGCCACCGGGCTCCGAGATGCAGAGATGAAAGGCCTGAGGGAGAGGATGGGCAGGATGTGGAAGACACAGGCAGGACCCAGGGTAACACAGGGAGCCCTGGGAGCCCCGGGAGCCCCATCTGCGGGGCAGTCTTACCATGGGGGTGGGTGCCAGTGGGGCAGATGGAATTTGGGACAACAATGTAAGAAGCCTGGAGAGGTGGCAGCAGCCCGTGGTGTCCTCCTGGGAGAAGATAGGGAAGCCCAGGACTACAGGTGGCCCAGGAAGGTGATGGGGATGTGCCAGGAACAAGAGGGAGGAAAGTTCAGGGGCAGCCCTGGTGGGACATGTGCTCTGTGCTCACCTCCATCCCCAGTAGCTGCTCAGGCAGAGACGGGCACCGCAGGGACATGGTTGTGACACCAGGTCGGTGGGAAGTCCCAGCCCTCGCCGGGCACAGCGGGGAGTTTCCGGGCAGCAGTTATTCCCCTGCACCGGGCTAGAGGGTGCTGGTGATCACCCGGCAGGACTGGGGTCCAGCACTACCTGAGCTCCCAAGTGGCCCTGGCACATGGCAGGGGGTGTGCAGGAGGGCACCGGGGATGCAGGTCTTGTCAGCTACCTGCAGCCTCCCCCCGAGCACTCTTGGATCCCTGCCTACACCCATCAGCTCCATCCCTCCCCTCGGGCACCGAGCCCACACATGGCTCTTCCTGGCAGCAGACAGCCACTGCAGACCGGACGCACACGCTCTCTATGCGAAAGCTGTACATGCACACCCGTGCACGCACACGCACAGTCAGCCAGGCATGCATGCACAAGCAGGAACACACACATCATCGGTTTGTGTGTTTGTAGGCTGCAGACAAGTGCAGAGTCCTAGGAGAGAGGGCGTGAAGTGCCTGGCTGCCTGCGGCTGGGGCCCCCGGGCATCACCTCCCCCTCTCCCT